AAAATCAGATTGGGCTGATAACATCTCATTTGATGTTGTTCGATAATGTACTGCTCAATGATGTGTTGTATATTTAGAATAAGTAATATTTATGACTTGAGGATTAAATTGAAAAATATCATACGATATTGATTGTCGAATATAGTTTGATAAATAAGAATAAACATCACGTTGACTAGGAAATACTGGTGTATCTTTAGGCCAAGTAAAATCAGATAATGTTATAGAAAATTTAGAAATATTAATTTTCATTGAGTTTCAACATGGTTTCCAATCAGCATTCCACATACAACCTATGTCTGATGCTTTATCAAAAGCAGTAGGTCGAATGGCAACTTCATACAAATGGATTGTTGAAACAAGACTTAACTCACTAACACCTATAATGACTACACAATTTTGCTCACAATACGACATAGTCTATATGATGAACAATACAGATTTATGCTTATTTTCTTTATTTAGTGTGACATAGAATAATTCAGCTTTTGCTGTGTAATATCCATGTGATAAGTGTGTCTAATAACACCCTTTTGTTTTTCTTTTCTTTTATTTGACGATTTTTTTTAACGTGATACTTTTATCCTCTTCTGTCATCGTCCTAATATTTTTTGGTATAGTTCCAATACTGGCCTTGCAAGACATGGCACAAAGATACTGGTTTTCATGAGATAAAAACTTGCAACATCTTTATAATTTGAAATGTATATTGTTTTTGATCACCTTCTTTTTTCTAAACCAGAAACAACCAATAAATTGAATCAATCCTATTAATATGATTCAAATAAGTTTTAATGCATTGTCATTTTCACTAATACTGGAATGATCGAACTATCAAAATTTAGTCAAATATTCTTTATAATCTGTATGAATGAAAATAATATTTTACTTTTGCACATCTGTACGAAAAAAAATATGATGAAGTCGAGAATGGTAAACTTTTTTCGAAATGTAAATATTTATTAGTAAGAAATGCACTTCACTTATCCAGGGACTTTTAAATGGTCATTATTCTTCTTTGCCTGATTGCCTATTTTATCTAACGAATAAGCATGATTATCATACGCACGAAAGAAAGAGAGAAAGAAAGAAAGAAAGATAGATAAATAGATAGATAGAAAGAAAAGACTTAATGTATCAACAAAAGAATTTGAATCAGTTATACTAGTCATTACCTTCTTGTGGCGGCGACGATAGTCACGACAATATCAGATTTAACTTTCAAATAATTGATTTTATTTTTATTATCTTGAATTTTTACATTCAAAGAAAAACAAAGGTAAATTGATGGCTGATCGCAAATTATTCATTGGAAACCTTGTACGGCGTATTACTCAAGAGGATTTATGGGTTATGTATTCAACATTTGGACCATTAGAAGAATGTGCTAAATTTCATGAATCATTTGGTTTTGTTCGTTTCTTACATGCTGAAGATGCTCGACAAGCATTAAAAGCTACTCATGGTATAACACTCAAAGGACGATGTATTAAAGTTGAATTTGCCGCAACTACAACTTCATGGCGATCAACTAATAATTCTTATTGTAATGAATGTCGTTCATCAGGTAAAATTTTTTTCATTGAAATAATATTCATAAAAATATCGTTTTTAAATTAGCTCGTTATAATATTCCACCTATTCGAGCTATTGATTTATCAAATCATCGAGGATATCATCATCGAATAATTAGTAGTTCGTCATCGTCTTTGTCACCGCCATCCATTGGTCCAATTGGTCACAGACGAAAAACTCATTCGAAATCAAGTAGGCACTCATTATGTTTTTTTTTGCGGTTAGTATTGTTGTTGTTTTTTTTTGTATAGTTACTTCTGAATCAACAAATTCTTCTGATACTCGTCAATCTCATGTATCATGTTCATCACCACCGTCATCTTATGCTGCTTCATCAAGTCATGTTACTGAGATTGATGATTATGATTGTGATCTTGATAGTGGATATAATGATGAACATGATTCACCATTACTATTATCATCAGCATATTTAATTCCAACATCACCATGGTATGATATGCCTATTGCTGATGAATTATTCATTTGGGTATTAGTTTTTTGAAATGATTTTATCTTTGATATTGATTTCCTTTGTTTTTATTTTTAATTTTTATTAAAGGATTTTCAATTGTATGCTGATATTGCTCGTGAACTTCCATTAATTAAAATAGATTATTTATCTTCTGAATTGACCGATGATGACACATGGACAATGATGGATTATTTTGCAAAATTAAATATTGAAGAGTATTTATAAGCATTGTTTTATTTTTTTGATCTGAAGAAGCTTTTTTTTTTCTAAGAATCAGTGTGTGTGTATATGTTAAGTTAATTATAGTAAAAGTTACTGATCAATTATGTTCAATAGAGAGCTTTTGTATTCAAAATACTTGTTTGTTTTTCTTATCTTTTTGCTGAAAAACTTAAATGAAATCTTGATGCATCCGGTTGTTTTGTTTCTTATTTGTAATTCTCTCTTTTTTTGTGTGATACGGACAAGTTCTTGGAGTTCTTTTCTTTGTATGGTTTGTTATTCTTTAACTTTATTTGTCTTATATAAATGTGTCATCACCTCTTATGACTTTTCATTGTCCTTTAATTGACTTTCTTTTCTTTTTCTTTCATTGTAGTCTTTTCTTATTTAATAATTTACTATAATAGTGAGTAGTGTATTTTTCATCCCCTTATATTTACTTTTTTGTTTGTTCGTTTGTTAGTTTTCTTTTCACATGAGTGGGTGAAGGATATTTCTATCGTATTTATCAATGTTCATAATTGCATGTAAAACATTTATTTTTGACGATAAAAAATAAAGGTGAATAAATATATGGTATTTCAGGAAAATAAACTAGATAAGTTTTGTAGAATCAATATATGAAGAATTTTGTGGTAAAAATAAATAGTTCAACAATAGAATTGTTTTTTCTTCTTTAAAATATAGAGATAGTATACAGGCTTATCAAATTTTCTGCTTTTAAATATTATCTTGTGATGTTAAGATTTAAGATGTAAATTTCGGAGATACTGCGAATTCATAGCAAAACATAAAAAGGAAACAAGAAGTGATCTACTACAATGTTTGTCCATGAAGCGATCACCTAGGGATGGCATAGATTCCATAGTATTTCATTACACGATTATAAATACACTATATTCAGACGCAAACACTCATCTTCTACATATACTCTAATGAAAACTAGTAAAGTATTCTGATAATATCTGCTAATTACGTCATACTATTCTATGAGTAGACCATTCAAAACTACATGTGAACATCTGTCGACTAGAGACCTGATTGTGGGTTGTAAATGTGTTTATGTGGGGTGCAGGTGTATTGGTGCGGTGGGTGGAGTGTGAACTGGTTGGCGTATAAATAGGTCTGCGGCTTAGCATGTGTTATCAATGAGTGTATCTTGGATGTGGCTGTTCTTGTGATTGCAGGTGCGGGTGCGTTGATGTATGGCGCTGGATATCTTGGTATGATGTGTGAGTGTGGCGATCCATGGTTCGGTCGCGATACTTGGTGTAACGATATGAGTGTGATTGGTTGGAAAGGTGAAATACAACAGAACCTAGTTCGAACACCGGCATTCTCATCGATACGATAGCGAAGACGCACATTCAAATCTACAGTGACACTCATATCGAGGCTCACACCCGTACTCATACCCTTTTCAGTTCTTTAGTAACTGAATTGAACGTACAATTTTCACACATATAACAGATTCGGATGAGTGAAATGGACGTACAGAAAGAAGCGCGTAGGTTTGGGCGTACAGACTCGAAGTTATAGATTTGGATGACAATATTTTCTGTCATCGAAAAAAGCTGCTTGTGATGGCTGAAGCTTTTTGGCATTCATTTTACAAAAATTTTTTGTCAATAAAGTGTAGGTATTCCTTCAGATCGATACCAAACTCACTTAGACACGCTTCGATGCCGTCACTCTCAATCTGTACTATTCCTCACTGTCAATCAGACTAATTAGTTAAGGATTCCTTAACCAGTTCTTGTCCAAATCAACGACAGCCACACTCTTTGATGTGCTCTACCAGTTAGATTGATCAATGTAAAGAGTGTAGTCGGTCTGAAGAAGAATCATATTTTTAAATGAATATGTAGTTTTTCTACAAACACACGTACTTCTTTTACTAATTGCATTGGTCCTACTCTAACTGCTTTCATCATACGCCTAGTACTTCGATCATAACTCACATTAACTTGTTTTATCCTTGAAAACCAAGGGCTCAATGTGGATAATGAGTTGTATGAATCATGTAGAAGCATCTAAGAAGAGACAAAAAAAAATCACTACTTAAACAAAAATTGGTGATCAAAAGTATTTTTGCTCTATACATTTGGTCAAACTTTATTTTTAACTCGAAAAGAACTTCCTTTTTTTATCAACGCTTCCCAAGAAAATATCTTAAAGTGCATAACATGCAAGGTCTATTTACTCAAGATATTTTTTTATAAGAAAGAAAAATTATTTCAAGCTCCGCTTTTTTTTCTCACTAACAACTTCATACACTGTTAGGAAGTATAAATAAAGAAATTCATCAGAATGTATAAGTCTGCATGGCCTGAGGAACGAAAAGAAAAGAACATAAAAAAACAAATATGGACCAAACCCGACTGGTATCCATAGTATAATGTGTTTTTTTTACCTTTTTCTATGCAAACGACTAGAAATATTCCCTCATTATCAGTTTCTTCAAGTAGTTTACATGGTTACTCTACAAAATCTATGCATGATTTTGCTATGATTGTCTCTTTTTGCGTTCTTATTTTATTATTTCTTGTTTACTGGTACGAAAAAGTATGCCACATCAGTGTCATAGCAAAAAGAAATCTATATGAAAACGTAACTTTACTGTTCTTTTTGATTGCATTAAAATCAGAACAATAACAACAGTCATTAAATTTTCACAAACAACCAACTCAAATTCAAGCAAATTCTTACTTGTTTAGTTTCATTTTCGATAATGGCAGCAAATAAAGGTCATATTCACATTGAAGAAACTCTTCATGAAAAGGCTGGTCAAATCAGTGAAGTTGAATATATATACAAAGAAAGTTTTAATAGTGGCAACGAACGCAACTATACAATATCAGTGAAACGAGCAGATTATGAACGATTAGCAGCTACAATAGGTAAACCAACATTACCATTTGATAAATTTGCCAAAGTTTTAAAACCATTCATGATGGGTGCCTATGCAGCTGCTGATGTACCGGAAGCATTTCGTCTTTTAGATGCTGATCATTCAGGCACAATTGATATTGGAGAATTAGCTGCTTTTATGCCAGTTATCATACCTGATGGTAATCCATATATGCTCCTTCATCATATTGAAAAGGTAGATAAGAATAATGATTACAAACTGAATTTAGCTGAATTTACTGACTTCGTCAATAAAGGTATTGGGCGAGATTTTGCACTTGGACGCCTCTAAAACAAATTAGTTCCAAAGACAATTTCTTTTTTTCTTTTCAAACATGTAGACTTTATTATTTAATCATATCATGAAATAAAATATATTGATATTTTGATCATTCATTGAAAATCGTTTCATGAAATATGTAAAACGCGTGCAAATGATGTTCGATTGATATACAAAAAAAAAATATATTAACGAGCTTCTATTCTCTATTTCTTACTGTTTTAATGTTTCAAAGATGATATTCTTTCAGTTATAAAAATTCATATATTTTGACTTTTATTCTTCGATGTATTTGTTCATGAATTGTTTTACTAAAAGAGAATTGTTCACATGTTTCTCTGATAAAGTTTTAAAGTCATTGAGGATGGCTGGAATGTCATCAATAGGACTTTCACCAATTCGACACTCGCCGAAGATGAAGGATAAGAATATATTGGCAAAAGTATAGTGTATTTTCGCAAGCTATCATGAAACAATATTGATAAGTCGTACATATGAGGCTTGGAGTTGGTATCGTTAGAATCTGTGAATGCACGACTGCCATACCGCAGAGAGTTGTATATCGTTGAATTTATTGACATAAGATGTACATATCAACAATCGCATTACAAATATCTTATCAGTTCTAATATAATATCTAAACACGAAACAAAAAGATCAAAAAATTCGTGAAAACGTCAAAAATAACTCGGTTGTTTTCGGATGCTAATCCTACACTTTCCAAATTTCTATCGAAAAGCATTCAGAAAAATGTGACACGAAAGCGCTTCTCTCTCTCACTATCTTAAAGTTTTGAGAGTTAATGCATTACAGATTCTTACTCATTTACACACGTACCATTTGCAAACATTTTCAATCTACAATCGAGAGCCGCAACTAGCTTTCTAAAACGTCCAAACTTATCTTATGTTAAAACATGTCATTATGTTTTTGTCCATTTTTACTCCTCTTCGGCTTTGTTTCTGGGACGATTATTTTTAGAGACTATTGAAACTTATTTTTTTTGGGCTTTATTGCAATTTTTTAACAGATTCCCATGCATTTCAAAATCAGTAGTAGATGTAGATCTGTGAGTGGATTTGTTGAGAAGGGTGTTAATGAGTTGATGTAGAGTATGTTGGAGATGTATTGAGAAAGAGTGCTGATGTATTGGTGAGCGAAGAGATTATTCGTGTGCTCCTTGATTGTGGGGATGCTTGAATTTGGGTATGGTGTGGGTGTGATGCACATATGGCTCTTGATGTGCTTGTGGATCTGAGTTTGTGTTGAGTGAATATGCGTGGTTGGTTGAAAATGTGAACAGAAGCACCAGACGAGAAACACATCGATATCTTCACTGGCACTGAGACCAAGACAAACTTGCATATCCATTCTGCACGCACGGCCACATGCATGAATACATTTGGTATTAGTATCGATTGCGCTTGTAAAATAATATATTGCATAGAAATTGTTGAAGATTCAGTCAGAGGTCAAGCGAGCCTTAATTAACGAACGCTGCTTATCTTAAAACGAGGAAAATTAAAATGAATAAGAACTTACAAGAAAAGATTGATTTATAAATATATATATACTATACACTTTCTCACAGAATAAAAGAAAACAATATTCATTAAGAAAACGTAGAAATCATTTTAGTTTCAATCTTTCTTCATTTATTGCTCACAATCCTGAAAGTTAGCCATGCATTCTATTATTATTATTATTGTTGTTATCGGCCTCACCCTTTTGTTCATAGTTTGTATGATGATTAATCAATGAAAAAAATAATAAAATAACTTCATTTTGCATAGTATAATGGAATTTTTTCCTAGATGTTTCTATTTGCTTTTCATTTTTGTTGCTGTACCAGTTCTGTTTTTTTTTCATTTCACTCAAACCAATTCTCTTTCCAGATCCAAAATTTTCAGTTGTTTTGCTTTTCATTTTTTATGCTTAGTATGCAGATTGAAATACCTTCTATCTCATGAGCTCATTTTAAGAAGGCAAAACTACCTGTTTGCATTTGAAAAACTCTAAAAGAACTCAACTTTATGCTATAAGAGCCGAAAAATGCAAACTTCTTTGCGGTTTTCTCAAAAGTTAGATTTTGCAACAAGAAATTGAAGTTTTTCCCTCTTTTCTCCTAGACGGTTCAACCGATGGGATTTAAATTTTTTTATGAGAAATTTGAACAAAGTGAGATACCCCTTTTTTTCTCTTGAAAATGTTTTGCATATGAAGTCTGGCAGATTTTACAAGATCAGCATCATTCGGAAAAAAAAGTTTTTTTTTCCATGTTTTTTTTTGTTAGTTCCAGTGTTTTGCTTCTCCTAAGTTCCAGGAACTGTATTTTTTAACGAAAGAAAACAATAACGTAGATCTACTCCTAGTTGCCATAGAAAAAATTTCAGTTTTGAAAGCGTAGCGCAGATGTTTGTGGAAGGAGGGAAAAACTTCAGGTCATTTTCGGACCTTGATCTCCCAAGATCTCACGGATGAAACCATTTGGGAATGTTAAGTCTATGACAACTTTTATCCTATTCATCAAAATCTATCTATTCTGAAAGTTTCAAAAATTTTTGCTAAGTCATTCTCGACAAACCTCGAAAAGAAGTGAGGCCCTTCAATACTTTGCTTTATTTTTTATCAGTTGTCATCTATGGTTCCACAAGAAAACGAACGAGTAAAAAAAAACTCATTGCAACATAATTTCATATGCTGTGTTACATTTCATTCTCTTTTTATGATATCAGAAAGTGTTCTCTCTTTTTTTCTTAATGTTACTGTGAATGGAATTTGTACATAGAAATACATTGTCACATATTGTTGTTTGAAAATATATAGCGAATTCCTATTGTTGTATGCTTTTTACGCTCAATTGATAGTTTAGTACCATATGAACAAAGACTCATGAAATTTGATGATGCATTGGTACACAACAATTCTTCACTAAGTTATTATTCATTTTCATTGATCTTTTTATCTCCAACTTGTTCTGATTCTCTATCATGGCGAGAAATAGAATGCCTATGTCAAGAAAAATTGTATTTACAATTGACTATATATACATACGTACATGATGCAATTCTTGTAAAAAAAACTACTAATAGAGATCGTACCACATACGACAATTTTTTATTAGAATTTCTGACTGATTGTTATTATATGTGGAACTCAAAAAGAATAAGTTCATCAATTATCTGACTGGAAAGAAAACTCTAAAGCGAAAGTCTACTGTATCGTCAAATTAACAGAAATTACGAATAGTGATTAAACAGTGAAAATAATTTATATTGAATTGTGTTGTATTGAATTTATTCTCTTATAGATGATAATATAAACAAATTTTGCGTCTACAGAAAGTGAAAAATGCACACGGAATCCATCACATAAAATCAACTCTTAAGTACTTTTTTTAGCATTTTAAATTTCAATTACTTATATTAGATGCGATGAAAACTTTGAAAGGTAGTAACGACATGTGATCTAGTCACTGTTGCTGCTGAAAGCTATTTTCATGATCTTTAAGAAAGACTGACTTCTTCGTTTCAAAATCGTCAATTTGTCAAGCGAAACTTTGTAACAACGTTTGAAAGAATATCGCATGACCCTCCTACATTTAGATCATCTAAATACGACATTGTGGATTGAGTTATGTGTCGAGATTTGTGAATGATTAATATACAGTGCTGCGCACCGTAATATCATGGCTCTAGCTATTCTTAATGGAATTTTAAAAACTTTCTCTTCCATTCGATTTACATTTTGAAAACCACAAATCAAGTCCATCTTGATCATGAACGAATTGAGTCGATTATTGGACATAGATGAAATGAAGTATATCTCTAAGCTTATAAGTATTATAGATCATTTATTGACATTTAAATTAATCAAAAATTATAATTAGAACAGAAACGTGATGGCAAAGAATAAATCAGAATTTGTTTTTCTTAGTACTGATTTGATTGATTATTATTGAATAAGTTGCAATGAATCTCAAATGAACTTCTTCGTTTAGTTTTACGTTTCACCAAAATTTTATCGAAACATCTACAACAAAAAAAAACTTCTCGAATTCTTAAGTGTAAACATAAATCCAATTCTAATCAAATAAGTCAATAGACACAACAGAACACAAGTTTATACATAATGATTAAGTCTTTCTAATTCTATCGAAATGTAATCCAATAATTCAAATTATTTATATTTTTATATAAATATTAATATTAATATTTTTTTCCTAAATTAAACTTTTTTTTTCCTTTGATTAAGTTCAAATAAACCGACATAATAACCTGCTGTTTTAATGACATGCAAGTTAAGTTGCAAAAATAACTCAAAATTATTTATTGACATCAAAGATATATATATTTCTTTGTAATTCTTTGCAGACGACTAACGAGGAAAATATTAAAGGTATTCAACTTCATTTTAATGCATTCATATCTCATTCAATAGATTATACTGAAGTGAGAAAAAGGCTTAAAAGGTTCGAACTCATGATCTACTAGCCAAGTGTTATCATCGTTTTACTGAAATTTTTGCTAAGAATCATTCTCTTCCAAAACGCAGAGTTTTTGTTTGAAATTTTGCCCATAAATAGACTTAACGGTCATTATATAATCTTGAAAATTTCAACGAAAACGAACATACTTTTCTCAAGATGTTCAATTTCTAAAAGAATGACAACGGTCTATTGTAGGAGGACATGACAATGGAATGTAATTATAAATTGAATATCTTGAGAAAGATATATTCATTTCTATTGAAAATTTCAAGATTATCTAATAACTATTAAATCTATTTATGAGAATAATTTTAAACCAAAACTCTTTATTTGGTTTTTTTTTTCGGAAACGATTAGTTCTAAATAAAAGTTTCAATAACAACGACTATGACTCTTTATCAATAGGCCATGGACTCGAGCCCTTTAAGGCTTTTTCTTATCATAATATGATCTATCGAATGAGGTATGAATGAATTAAAATGGAGCTAGACACGTCGAATACCTCCATCATAAGTAATTTCTA